AAGATGCGGCTCTCCAGCTCCTTGAACAAAATACTAATAATCTTAATTAAAAAAAAAATATTTGAAATAAAAAAAAATGTTAATGGCTCTTTAAAACCAGGGAAATTTTGAAAATTGTAACTTTTGGCTCTTCCGCTTCAAAAGGTTGCCGACCCCTGATTTAACATAACAGCCAATCACCTATTAATTAATCATTCAATTTCTCAACTTTTTTGAAAACCTAAGCGAAGCTAGGCAGTATGCCTAGTAATATATACAGCGTTTGCCTTTGCATGGTAAATAACACACACCTTTTAATTATTAGGTATAAAAGAAAGTAACAGATATGTTTGCGGGATTAAATGTATAGGCTTTTAGATGAACTTAAGGGCATACCCTATATGCAACTGATAAATTAATAATAATAATACTAATTACTTAATTAGGATGAATAAATTTTAATGTAGTAAGCATATCAAATCTTATATCAAATTTAAAAAGGTATTAGCCTACACTTTTATTAGTAATAACACATTTACATAATTAAATGTTTATTTAAATGATGTTATTTGGCGTTTGAAATGTCGACATTAAGCTAAGCTACTCATTCAGATCTAAGTCATGGCAAAGTATCAAAGTTTAAATCATTGTATGAGTGATGTATAACAGCAAGATATAAACGCAATAATCGAATTTAAGGCAATTGAGTTGAGTTTTATGATTCAAAAAGACTATAAACTTTCTCGAATTTTTTTATATAACACTACGGGGGGGGGGGGGGGGGGTAGCAAATCGGGATATAAACATAATTTTTTATCCAATGTTAATTATTTAAAGTTTTAAAATAGAATCTCCTCGGAAAAAAAAAATATCGCACCAAGTGAACAACAAACAAAGTGTGTATAATATAGTACTATTTTAGGTCAATGGAAACAGATAATTAGATCTTTTAATTATTTGTGAAATTTCGTCCACCAATCTAAACAGTAGGCCTACTCAAGTTATAGAATTCGGAAATACCAAAAGTAGAAAATGTTCCTTTTTCTGTTACCGGAAATCGCTGGAATGTTGTAACAGAGCTACAAATTTGATGCAATACCTATTCATGAAATTTTATCAAGCTAGATTTAACAGTAGTATATTAGGTCCCTTTTGGAGCAAATTTGGGAGGGGGAGCCGGATGCGCAAAGGTTATATAGTAAAATACTCGGATGCGGAGGCGCATTGACATATAGTAAAATACTCCACCACCTGGTGGAGGGTGGTGGAGCAGGGTGGTAGTGGTGATGGTGGAGGAGAGGGGGGGAGTGGTGGTAGTGGTGGAGGAGAGGGTGAGTAATGGTGGGGGTGGAGAAGAGTAGGGTGGTGGGGGAGACGGGGAGTAGTGGTGACCTGGGGGAGGTGGAGCCGGCGTGACGACGAGATATAGTAAAACACTCCCCCACCTGGTGGTGGTGGTGGAGAGGGGTGGTGGTGGTGGTGGTGGAGGAGAGGGGGAGTAATGGTGGGGGTGGAGAAGAGTGGGGTGGTGGAGGAGAGGGGGAGTGGTGGTGGCATGGGGGTGGTGGTGGTGGCGGATGTACAATGAGTCATCCACCCTAGGGTGGCGGAGGCGGTGGGTGATCAGGTGGGGGGTGACCTTGTGACGTAATCAGCGGTGACTTTGTGACGTAATCAGTGACCTAGTTACGTAATTTTAATGAGTTTTTTAATTAGTTTGAATTTAATTTTTAAAATTTTAATTAATTTTTTATTAACGAGTTACGTAATTTGATTATTTGTTTGTATTTTGTTTGTTTATTTTTAATTAGTTTAATTTTTTTAAATTTTAATTTGTAATTAGTTTAATTATTATTAACGAGTTACGTAATTGGATTTTAAATTTTTAAATTTTTAAATTTTTAAATTTTTTAAATTTTTAAATTTTTTAAATTTTTAAATTTTTAAAATCTTATTTTTTAATTTTAAATTTTTAAATTTGTTTATTTGTTTACTTGTTGTTTAATTTGTTGGTTTGTTTATTTGATTGTATGTATGTTTAATAGTAAACCACCCCACCACATGGCTGTGGTGTTGGAGAGGGGTGGTGGTGGTTGAGAGGGGTAGTGGTCGAGGAGGAGAGGGGGTGTAATGACGGGGGTTGAGGGGAGGGTGCGCTAACATGGAGAAAAATTGAACTTCTTTGTGTACTGACTTAACATCATCATCCCACCGTTTCTCTCGACTACAAACATCCATTAGCGACACCTGTTACTCGCTAATGGCACCCGGCACGTATCGACCCCACCCCTCTACTTGAGACATAAAATACAAAAGTGTATTGTGCCTTGTCGTCACAGAAAACAAAAACGGTGGCGTCTAATGTTGTTAACCATTGTCTTCCTAAATTATTTTTTAACTTGTTAAAGAAATTGAATGTTTAGTTAAGGATTCTGACGCGAATTTTTTTATAAGGGGCGATACTCGTGTCTGTAAACAAGGCTCTACACATAGTGCAGATTCTCTCCAGTAGCAAATCAGACAAACAAATAAATATTCAAACATGTAAAAAAAATGAGTACTATGTAGCTAGATAGATAGGCTTCATGCGGGTGGCACGGATTCTAGACACATCAGGCCAATGTTAAAATATTTTTGTTCATTTTTTTTTCTTGGATGTGAATGATAAAGCTGCCTATCTGAACTTAGCGGGATACAGGGCGAGTGAAGTAGAGTTCACCTGTTTCTTTGTCCTCAGCATATGAAGGGATAGTGTGGTCAGAGACATGCTCATCCGGAATCGTTTTTTAACCGATAGAATATTTTGTCTAAGACTTGGCGGGACACTGGACAGGTGAAGTAGAGTTGAGTGGGTCACTTGTGACTTCAGTATACGAAGAAGGATTGTGTGCTCAGACCCATGCTCAGCCGAAATTGGTGTTTTTAAAAGATAAAAAATGTCTTTTTGAATGTGGGGTCTGCTTATTTTGTGATGATTAGTGACAGACGTGATGTCATTTATGGATAACCCCCAAAGCCCACAGTTATCTAATTAGATAACGGGTAGTCTAGTATATTATATTACATGAGGGAGGGCTGAGATGATTTTATTTCTAATTCCGCTCCTGACGTTATATCAAGCTCTTAATACCAGACACTCCACACTATTGGACGAAACGTAGACTAAATCTATAGAGCTGTAAAATAGTATGTAGTTAGAGAACAACTTTTTGTTTTCAGACAGACTGTAAATCACAGAATTTTCGACTCAGCTCGACAGTGAAAACACGTCTTGTCTACAAGCCACGATATCCAAAAGATAAGACGCGTGAAAAGGACGCTTGGACACCGCATAGGGATGGGGTTGAGGGCGTGGTGTATAGTGGAGGTGGGTTGGTTAGGTGAAAGATAAATGTTCATTTAAACCATCGTGTGCCCGTGTGCCAAATTTAAGTATTAGTAGCGTTTCAGAGTGTAGGCGATTTTAAAATTGTGACAAAATCGAAATTGGAAAAGAAAAGGAAAATTAACTTGATAGAAATGAATAATGTAAAAGAAGATTGTATAATAAAACCAACTAATCTATTTTTACTTTCTCGTATATACGAAGTATAGAGAAAGTCTTGTAATCGTGCAAAAAAAATCGAGATTTTTCCAATCTCGACGATTTACACCTCACTGATACGGAAAAACATAATTTTGCAATCTTGTCCATATGTCTGTGTGTGTGTGTGTGTGTGTGTGTGTCTATGTGTCTGTAAACACGATTACTTGAGTACCGTTACAGCTAGGTTGATGAAATTACATATATAAGTATTTTATCAAAATCGTAGATGCTTATCAACGATTGAGCGATTTCCGATAACCGGAAGTGGTACTTTTTTACTTTGAATTTTTCAAAAGCCTTTAACTTGAATACTATTTCAGGTAGATAATTGAAATTTCACACGTAAGTATAAGATCTAATTTTCTACCTTCTTTCAAATTTGAATAATTTTCGTTGACCGGAATAACTAATTTACGCTATTTCCGAATTCTCAAAAAAACTAAAGTAACTTTATAATTTATAAAGTACTAATAATATTCCGCACTATTATGCACATTTTATTTGGCGTTTACTGGTGGGCAATTTTTTAAAGTATTTAAAATGGATTAAATTTATGTCTATATCCCTAGTTCCCATCCCCTGTTTTTTATATAAAAATATTCGAGAAAGTTTTGGGCAGATTACTCCCGGTTTTATCGACTTTGCAAACTTTGTTTTGAGAAGAAAAAGCACTATCTGTTTTATCTATTAAGCTAGCAGCACTTTTAAATGTGTGTAACAATTCTATTTTTGTAAAAGTTTTTTTTTTTTGCTGTGCTATCGTTTACCCCACAATGTATGTCTACAGCTAAACAAGAGCAATTTGAGCGGCTACTGATCATGTCTCTATTTTCCTCAATCATGGCTTTATGCTTTTGCTCGAAATTATCCTTGGCTATTATTTCAGTATAAAGAACTCTAAGGGTAAAATTGAAAAAAAATGTTGTATAATACTTTGTTGTCTGTTTTATGTAAATGGCGGCGTTAGGTTGTATGTGTTCAATTGTTGAACCTTTTTTTTTGAAGATTCAAATCTATGGTTTTGTTATTTGCCTGCTGGATTTTATTATTGCGGTATAAAGTGGATAAAGTACATTGAGCTGGTTTATTCATTATTAGTTCATTTATTGGGAATAGAAAATATAAATCAATAACATGTATGTGACCAAACGACTGGGTGCAATTATTGTCAATGATCCGTAAAACATTATTTATTATCACTGTATCAAAACAGTTGTACCGAAAAATCATCCATAAATTTTGCCATTTTTTACAATGTTCCAGAAAATGTACCTGGTATGGTTAAAGCTATTGATGAATTGATATTAATGTATGGGCATCCTATTCTTTAAAAAAGAATTAGATCTACACTGTGTACAAAATTAAAAAGTCTGAACAAGAAAAAAAAAGTAACTCTTGAGCTTGTATTTCAACAGCCCGAGCAGTTCCGATATCCCTGACTTTAGTTCCCCAGTATGAAGAAGGAATGGGTCCATATGTGTCAACCAACCATGAAGGATCTAATATTACCTTAACATGCAATGTTACTGTAAGTGCCTTAGTAGAATATAATTTAAGCATTTCATAAGCTTTATTTATCTAATTTTATAGTTTTATATTTATAAAATCATCATACACTTTTACTTTACAGGGCCCTGAAAATTTATCCATCAAATGGAAGTTCCGAAATTCTAGTTTAGAAAACGCAGTCTCCAGTTTGTACTTTCAACAAAGCGGCCAACAAATCGGTGTCCCCGTGCAAGTCAGTTTTGGGAGTACGTGTGTCCAGTACCTTCATTCTTCAACGCTAAAGTTTCAAATAGAGAAAAACATTGGTGGTTACGTGTTTTTTTGTGTGGCTACAGCGAACAATGAAGAAACTACTGTTGGGAATATGACGATATACGTTAAACCAAGTAAATCACACTATTTCTTGTCAAAATATATGCGCGTGTTTAATTTTCATTAAAACGTCAAACTGAAATTAATATTATTCATTTCCACAATCTAAACATCATATGTTGTATAACACTGTGCCCAATTAACCAAGGTTTAAGCCGATAAACATTAAAACATGTTAATAATTATTTTTTTAGTTGCATCAATAGATTATTAGAAATAATTTAAACTTCTCTTCAAAGGTCTAGACTGAACTTACTTCCTTCTTAATAACTAAGATGAAACTATCCTTCACTTTAAGCACCCAGACGTAATAAAACACTGAACTAACCTTTTCTCTCCACAGCAACACAAAACATAAATATCTTACATATCGCGACATGATTAAATTGCTTCATTGTTTATCCGCACCAAGATTCATTCGCACTAAGATACATTCATAAAACATACCTCAAAACATTACCTCCGCACCCCACCCCTGCTCATACAAATTACTATAATTAGCTTTAACTAACATACAGTACAATACATAAACACATTTTCCACACTATCCTTAAAAATTAAAGCTACATTATTGACTTGACTTACTTGACTTAGTCCTCTTTACTCCTTATGGAGCATAGGGCCCCCACCATTTCCTTCCATTTCTTCCTATCCTCGGCTATTAATTTTGACATCTCCCAAGACATCCCTATTGGCTTCAGTTCTTCAAGAAGACTCCGCCTCCAGGTCTGTCTTGGGCGCCCTCTCTTCCGCTTTCCCTGGGGGTTCCACTCAAGCGCTTGGAGTGTAGCATTTGTGTGAGACTTTCGCAGTGTGTGACCCACCCAGCGCCACTTCCTCCTTCTTATTTGCACACCTATAGGCTCCTGCCTAGCTTTACTCCATAGTTCCAAGTTTGGCACTTTGTCCTGCCATCTCAGTTTCAGTATCTGTCTAAGGCATCTATTCATGAAGGTCTGTATCTTTGCTGTGCTTGCCTTGGAGACTCTCCATGTCTCTGCTCCATACAGCAGAACTGCCTTGACATTAGAGTTAAATATCCTAATTTTTGTGCTAATGGAGATGGCCGAACTTTTCCATATGGGTCGCAGGACTGTGAAAGCGCAGCGGGCTCTATTAACTCTAGCGCGTATGTCCTCCTCTGGGCCTCCCGTTTTGCTGATCTTGCTGCCAAGGTAGACAAACTCTTGCACATCATTTACCTGTCTTCCGTCTATTGACAATGGAGCCTCCTGTTTATTGTTAATTCTCATCATTTCCGTCTTTTTCTTCTACATTATTAGTGTACAACAAATATTTCTCTGGATATTGAACAAAATGTATCAATTTGGTTGTTATACATTACCATCATCAGTCTTTGTATTCTCCCTGAAACTACGCACTGATTACCGTATCATCAAATCATGCTGTCTGAACACTGCGATGGGAAAACAGAGCCACAGGACCACTTCTTGAACACATGTGTGGTTGTTCCCATCATAACAAAAAAAACAACTGAATATTAGGTTAATAACAAAATGAGTCCACATTTTCCAAAATATATTATTCAATATCAGGTAAAATCATTACATCAGTATAAAAATTACATTTATAGATCACAGTCACACCAGGATTGGCATCAACCTAGACAAAAATCAATTCAACAAATCTATCGAATAACAGAAATAACTTTAAAAATATTTGCATGTTACAGCATGCCAACATCGTCATAGCAAGGTATTTATTTAAAGGGAGATTTAACCTAAATATGTCTGCCCAAACACATTTTGAGTCATTAATCTTCAAAATTAAGGTTCCATTACTATCAGTCATTAGTGCACATTGTAGATTATGTTTTTCTCTAACATCATCACTAGTCATGCAATATTTTGCATTGCATAATTCATTTTCATTCCTGTTCCCCGATTGTTAGTTCTTATAAACATTTGCTTAAGGGGTAAGGCTCCGGTAAAAGAAAAAGATTTTTTAATAGTAGAGAGCTAACAATTTTTTCTTTACAGCTTTTTTAAGGTACATCCGAATATGCATTTCCACTAAAAAAATTGGTACATTTTTTTTGTAACTGAGACAACGGCGGCCATCTTGAAAAATTAAACTATTCCTAGGATTTTCATAATTTATAACGTTTTACATTTTAAGTCTAATTAAGTATCAATTAAGTATCAATTCTTGTTATCCTAACATAGTTTTAGGTACTCAGCTATACATTTCAAGAGTAGATCTTTAAACTACTTTTCTGGGAATTTTCACATTTTGATACTGACAAAAACATCTATCTTTTCAAAATGTGTGCTATCTAGGTTTTCAACTACATCATTTGGTCTATCTTGTTTTATTAAATCAGCCAATTTTTAAAAATTAAACAAGCAATTGCTTTTTTCTATTATACTTTCCAGATGACTGACTTTTCTTTCTAATTTCTGGAACTAACTGCTGTAATTATACTTTATAACTCCAGAGAAATTACCTATTATCATATCATATAGATATTTATTAAATTCTACAACACTTGTTTGATTATTCAAAAAAAACCTAAATACTGGTCAAGTATAACGTCTCCCCTTAAATAAACTAACATGTTTATTTTGAGAGCTATATTGTTGGGAATGAACAAAATTAGCTCTCACGGCCATATAGAAGCACACGTTGTGTTTTAATTATGGCCATGAGAGCAATAGTTGTTTATGGTAAATATTATGCACAATTTTAAACTTTTGCATTCTCAAAGGTGTACGATTTTTTCAGACCTTGTAAAATTCTGACCAGTAACTCTAATAGAAGGTGTGACAAAATTATAAGATGTACTGAAATATAAGCCCTTTACATTTGATTGCTATAAGTGCATAAATAAATAAAAAAGACTTAGCATTTTAAAAAGTACTAAAACTTTCGGGTTTCCATAACAACCAAATTTGTTTTCAACATTTTCTTATGCTTTTTCTTCCTTTTCTTCTTCTTCTTCGTTCTTAATTTTAGGTGTTTGAAGGGATCGAGCCTTATCTGCCAGAGGGTTTTAACTCGAGACATTTTCGAATTTTTCAATTCTGAGCTTTTGCCGACTCAACCACGTCTCCATCACAATTAAGGATACGTGTCAACTGGTTATGTGCCATTGAGGCCATTGACTCCGATTTCAGCCTGCTTTTCTTTTTGATTTAGCTTCCATAGCCTTTGTCCAACCAAAAACAAACTATACGGCAGCAGCTGTTTGATTTTGGAGTTGTCTCTCCTAGAAGAGTGGTTGTCCCTAGCTAACGAGTCTCTCTGCCCGAGGGTTCGAACTCGAGACTTTTCCGTTTAGCAACCATGAGCTTTACTGACTTCACCATGCCGGTCCCTTTTGCTGTTTAATACTGACTTTTATGAGCCAAACATGAGCTAATGATATTCAAAATGCTTTAGATCTGAAGTTGTAAAAAAAAATAAAAAATTTCATGATTTTATTGGTTCATTGATACAACGACTTCACTGCCAAAACATCGCCATTTTCTTCCCGCTCTCTCCCCCTTGCTTCCTTTTGTTAGCGCATGCGCACACCCACACTATATTTTTTATTTATATCGTCTTTTTATGAAACATACTCGAAACATACATTCACCTTACATTTGACTGTTACAATATCTTTTTGGGACTGTAAGTTGCGGGTTTTAAAGCAAATATTTTTAGTTAATTCAGTTCAAATAGCAATACGAAAAGATAAGCAATTATAAATTAGATCTATAATAAGAAAATGAATATAAATTAATGTCTGTAATACAATCATTATTTCGTGAAACAACTATTTTATTAATGACAGCAAACGATGTCCTTTTTCAGTGCATTTAAAGAAAGGGAATTATTATAGACGTGTTTAATATTGGATTTATTAAAATGTGTTTCAATTATCGCTGAGAAACATATTCTAGCGTAATTTTTAGTTACCTATGTTTCAAACTACAGAAACCATCACACCCGGCAAGAATGTGAACGATATTGTCAACCCCAGTGTTATCGTGGAAGGAGAATCTTTTACCGTGACATGTGACGCTACGCGTGCTGGTGTTCCATCAAGTGCTACCACTGTTTCCAATTTGTACATTGCTTGGACAAACGGAACAGCACCACCAACAACCTATGCCAGATACAGAACATATAATCCTCCTTATAATGATTCGGTATTTAATTTTTTTTTACTTTCATACAAAGCTGCTAATTTTGTTTACAAAAAGATTTTTAGTGATAGACAAGACTATGTAATCTCTCTTTTCCTCTACCTATCCTTCTCTACATTTCTTTCTCTCTCTATACACACACACCATATAAATGTAAATATATATATATATATATATATATATATATATATATATATATATATATATATATATATATATATATACTAGCGTACCCGTCCCCCGCGCGTTGCCGCGGGGATAGAAGTAAGTTTGACGAAATATATTCGAAGGATTTCACCAATGCGTTACTAATCATATGTTCTTTGACGCGTGACTTTGTTTTCTAAAACTGTGTTATTTAAACGTAAACGATGCCTGCACTTGGGTCATAATCGTCGGGACTTACTTACAATGCCAAATGAAATCCTTGAATGTTCGTTAATCACTCACCGAAATAATGAGGTAGAACACAATTTGTGACCTTATCCTCAAAACTTAACCTAGATAACTAAAAATCTTACAAAATAAAATATACAAAAGAACATTTTGGCATTGCATTTATCCGACAGTCTTTGCAACTAATTCAAAAGTAAGTATCTATATTGATAAAAACGAATTATTTTGCATTGTTCGAATACAGTCCAAGAAATAGCAAAATGCTTCTAAAACAGTAGCTCAGTCGTTAACGAACAAATACTGGTCTTACATTAAAAGGAAAATAGTTCAAAAGGAATCTTTGCATTTAATTTGATTCTTATATTTGACGTTTCGTGCACCTGACTTAAACGGTACTTAATTTACAGAGATTTTAGAAACCGGAAGAGGAGTAAGTACCACTATCAGGTTACTGGAAATCGCCCAAAGGTGTATATAAAACCACTAATTGGATATAATGCATATGTAATTTCGTCAACCTAACTGAAACGGTACTCAAGGTATCGTGTTTGCACTCCCACACATACATACACATTGACGAACAGGATTGAAAAACTACTTTGTTTCCGGCTTGAAAGGTTATAAAACATCAAAAGTTGTGAAAATACAATTAAGAATGTTCGGTATACTATATAATGGTGTGTGTAAAAAAGCGAAAATTGTCAAATTCTTATTTAATTTGTGTGCACGATTAGAATATTTTGTCTATATTCTGCATACGAAAATGTAAAATGGACAGAATGAAAGAAATAGTTTTCAGTCCAGGGAAAAACATCGGTGATTTTTTTTGGTCTAATGGAGAAAGGGGGGAGGGGGTTGGGTTAGTAGCCATACCGTCGGGAGCGTTTTAAACGTTGTAGATTTGCTTAGATCGTTTGGTGTTGGCCGTTAGATGAGTCACATTTGATCATACTTTTATTGTGTGAAAACCCTTTTCTACAGTTTCCACCGAAAACCTCTCCTCCAAGAAATTGGATTTTTACATTCAGTGGAAACCAACATGACATAATTAAGCCAAATAATACTGACACAATGAAAATTGAAATAGTTGTCTACGATGCTAACAGTGCAGACGAGGGGGTATACTTTTGTAATGCGACTTATGAAGACGAAAAAGGTAACGAGATAAAGGTCTACAGATTTCAACTTGTAAAAAACGAAAGTAAGTATACGTATAAAAAAACAATTAAATACTTAAAATAATACCTGCAAAAACATTAGTGAAACCCACATAATCATATTTTTCCAACTAATTATTTAGTTGGCATAAATATCTAGTTAAGTTTACACAAGTTTTATAATTGAATAGGTTGTTCTACTTTATGTGGTTAATATTAAAATAATATATCTTCCATTGCATAAGTTTTAACAAACAAAAGGTGCTTTATTGACAACATTAAAGCTTGTTAAAAAGTGATTTATAGCTTGTCGTTTTTTGTTGTTGAAATACTCAAAAGTTCATCGTTTATTAATAAACAGATATTGGTAAAAGGTTTTACGTTCCTTGTTATTATAGTAAACAACAGTGACAATAAAAAAGAGAACGCGAAGAAAAAAAGTGTTAATTGATGGTTGTTTATGCTGCTTCCACCCATACGTAAACAATGAACGTAAAACATATTTTCGTTTCGTCCCATTAGTAAAACAACTGTCGACTTAAAGCTATTAAAGACAACTCTTTATGACATTTATTTTTTGTTTAAGAATTATATATTATAATGTAAAACGCTTGTATTTTAAGTATGCTTGGTTATTAACTTTACCTGTTTTTACTTCCTAAAGCCACAACAGAAGCGCAAAGTTCTGAAAGAAACGACTACAGTTTTCTATATTACGTCATCCCTGTAGCCGTTCTTATTGTTGTAGGAGTTATTATAGGAACAGTTTACTTTACAAAGGGTTGGTCGCTTTGTTTGACACACGCATTCACACATGCACACACATACATACACATACATACGTATAAAAAGAGACACGCATTACTGATCACACGCGTGCGTACATGCAGACATATTTTATATGTAATCTAGCAACATGAAGTAAAGAAGAAGCACTTTTTTTTAAAAACAAGTAGCTTAATAAATAATTAATATCTAGTAATTAACAGTAAGATATTATACTCATGCTTGCAGTGCGTCGTGAAAGAGCAATACAGAGGAGACGTGATATGAGGACTCTCCCAGCAATAAGACAGGAGTCTCTGTCTCCACCAATGGACAGTAATGGATATCTTTTACCTGCTGATCCCAACGGGGGGTACGCTCAGATTATAGACATAGCGCAATACGAAACTTCAGAAAACTACTACAGTTCTATCAACGAATTAGAGTTTATAAAAGAAAGTGACCAGCAATTTGAGTACAGAAGTGGATTTCAGCAGAATGGAGATAATGAACTGGAAACTAAGAACGATGTTAAACTTGGTGTTAAAACAGATACACAAGTCGACATTGAGACACGTAAGCGACTTGATATTCAGAACGAAATACAACTAGAAACGAAGACAGACGAACAGCTTGGCATAAATCCAAAAAAAGATTCTGCACCAGCCGATGAGTTCAACGACTACACAAAGCTCTACGACACCCCTGAAGACGTACATACCCCCGATGTAAATAAATACTCGGCTCCTATTTTTAAAAGTGTTATTTAATTAGTATCGAACATAAACCATGTTGTAGTTACTCAATAGAATTATTATATGATTATATATCAAGTACAAATTGTCATAAGCGCTTTTTTTCATACTTTTATATATGAGTTTAACAAGACGGAAGTAAAATACCAAATTGATGTTAATATATATTTTTCTATGCTTTATCATTCTATATATGGCTACATGAAAAATGGACAATGAAAAATTACCTCCGAAAAAAATTTTCGAGCACAAATTAACAGTAGAACAAAAGTATCTAATAAACAATATCTGTCATATGTATACCTATTAAAAAATATCACAGTACTTTTTTCCACTCTTTTATTTATGTTTTCTCAACATTGCATTTTTACGTCAAATGCAAATCATATAAGCGTAATGCTTTCCACGTTTTCTCAACATTGCATTTTTACGTCAAATGCAAATCATATAAGCTTTAAGCGTTTCACATACATTAAGCATTATACTAACCACATTACTACTTTTACACATTTAGATTAATTCAATACTTCAAGATATATTAATGTTAATGCACCCCACCTCCTTATTTTTGCACATAGTGTTGCGTCATTTATTTTTTTTTAAAGGCATTCTATCATAATAAGAAAACGTAAAAATGCAGAGTGAAAATGACAAAAATAAATCAGAAATAAGATTGTATTTTATCTTTTATAAGAGCAAAGTTATAGAGATTTGAAAATGTTTGAATTATCACACCTTTTGTGTTTTCCATTGCAATCATAACTTATGGTGGTGAAGTTTTACTAATGTTGTTTTTTAAATTATACACTATTAACATTTTGATGAATAAAACACCCAAAATCGTGTTATTTTTTTCCTGTGTGGTATGTATAAATATAAAAGCAAACGCAAACATGAACACAAACTTACACACAAACATAAACGTAAACATAAACGCGAACCACAAAACTAAATACATAAATGCAAAAAACAAAACCACAAACAATAATGCAGATGTAACATGAACGATAATATATGAACACATACATAAAAGGAAAAATAACTTAACATAAGCACAAACTTAAACGCAAACATGAAAGTAAACGTAAAAGCAATTATAAATGCAAACTTAAACGCAAAAAAATAATGCAAACATGAACGTGAGAATATACACACGTTAAAGGACAAATATAAACGGAAACAATAACGCAATCGGAAACATAAGCACAAACGGAAACATAAACGCAAAGTTGAAAGCAGACAATAATGCTTACGCAAACATTAATGCAAACATAAATGAAGGCATAATGAAGACATTTAGGAACGGCTTCTAAACCAGCATATCACCCATTAATTGTATCAATACTTTTCCAAAAATCTTCTTAAATAAAAAAAATAATACTGGCTCTTCATTAAAGTGTTACTTATAAGTACCGTCAGTACGAAATGGGTTAATGTCGATTGGTACAGGAAAAATAAACATATGAAGTGTTGTCAAGAAATACTACGAAATTGGCTAGTAAAAAATAAAAAACGTGGGGCGCCGTGATTTTCTTACAGTTTTTAATACTGTTGACTCTCTACAAGCTCCCTAATAAAACTCAATAGTATTATCTAATCAATATTAATATGACTTTTACATCTTATATTAACAATGACCGATAAAATACTTTTACTTCGGCGCCCCACGTTTTTCATTTTTTGTCATAATGCGCACGCAGTTTGCGATCGCTTATAGTAGAGTGATCGCTTGCATTATTGTGATGTATAGCATTTATTTTCTACTTTTTAGTTCAATCAGAAAACGTAGGTTTTTAAACACTTTTTTAATGATAAATATTTTCTACTTTTTAATCTTTGTCTGTTTGTTTGCATTCAAATCTTGCTATCGATTTTATCTTCTCGCATTCACTTTTATTTTGGGTAAACGAAGACAACTCGTAAATAACACGTGCCTTTTCCAATCGACGTTTCTTCTGTGTTGCCGTTTCTTTCACCATTTTGCCCTCGCGTGCAAACCATTCGACCATCAACATTCTACTTCCTGATCAGTCAGATTTGCATAGGTCTGTACACAAACACCGCTTGACCACTACTCAGCCAATCGCGTGCTCTTTCCTTCAGTAAACCTGAAGAGGGAAAGTACCGAACCTTGTTTTCATCAAATTACAATTACTGAGTTATTTCCCTTTTTTTATACAAATCAATAGGGGAGCCGGACATTTTCCCTAAAGACACTAGCCCGAATGCCGTTTGCCCGAAGGCCGATTTCCCGAATGGACACTTGCCCGAATGTGACAAATGCCCGAATGGACACTTGCCCGAATGGGACAAATGCCCGAATGGACACTTGCCCGAATGCGACAAATGCCCGAATGCCACTTGCCTGAATGGGACAAATGCCCGAATGGACACTTGCCCGAATGCGACAAATGCCCGAAATCGGCCTTCGGGCAAACGGCATTCGGGCAAGTGTCTTTCGGGAATTTGTCGTCGACCCATCAATAGAAGTCTAAAATGATCAATAAAAGTTTTCCATGGATAAATTTAGTAATAATAATAATTGAATATTGTATTATCATCGAAAACAAAGCTTCCCTGAAAATTTCAGCGCGCTAGCTAACTGGGAAGTGCCCGAAATTTCGATCGCAAGATTCGATTGGAAAAACAAACAAACAAAATAAATAAATAATAAGTTAAAGAAAACGTGGGAACGTTGGTGTTTTATAACCTTTTTAGATGTACAATCAAGTATTTCTGAAACTTTCATACAAAATATGGCTACAGGCAATTACCCACCCCCTCCCGGACATTTACACCGTATTTATCCCCCGGAGCAATTACCCCCTGTCAATTACCCCCTGTCAATTACCCCCAGGGGAATTACCCCCCCCCCCCCCCATCCACCAATATAGAATCCTCATTCTAACTCCAACTCTATACCTATATATTACCTTAATTCTAACCTCAACCTAAAATTAACCCAAAACCAAAATCTAGATTTGATTTAAGCCTAAATCTGATCCTCAAACTAACCCTAGCCCTAACCCTAGCCCTAACATTAACCCTAACCCTAAAACATAGACCAAACTCAAACCCTAGCTCTAACCCTAGATAAACCTTAAGCTATGATCGTGGGGTAATGTCCTACTGGGCGGGGGGTAATTGACAGGGGGTAATTACTCCGGGTGTAATGATGGGGGTGGGGGAAACGTCCGGAGGGTAATTGACGGGGGAGGGGTAATGCCCTGTTACCCTAAATATATATATATATATATATTACAAAGCATAACTTAAGATTATGGGGATATAAAGAGTTTGATGAAGGTTGGGTATTGAAGACCATCTGTATCAATTTTGATAAGGTTATGGTGAGATAAAATTTCCTTGGTTACGGTGCGGGGTGTATAAGCAAGGGGAGACACAATTAATAGGGAATGTTTCTGAAATGAATGTGCAACATATTATACATGTTTATTTGTGTCTAGTATCGTGTTCCTTTTTTTTAAATTGTTACAAGTTGCGTCTGTCTTATTATTGTCTGTCGTCATGGATGACAAAATGGCTAGGGAATTTTCGACCACTTCTAAGTGACCGATTTGTTTCAAACCATGCACTAGTACCCGATGACAATTCAATCTAACAACTAAAGTGTGTTTGCAATTGCGTTTGTGTATGCGAATGCGTTTGTATGCTTTTGGTTGTGGTTGTTTGTAATTAGGGTTTAGTTTAAAGTTAGAGTTACGTTTAGGGTTATGTGTGATTTTCTCAAGCGTTCTTATTTGCAAATAGTTTTTTAATTAATTACAGAGGCCAGTGCAGGACATTGTCGGGACTGCTTATTATTTATAAATGTATTTCTCACTTGTCTGTTACATGATCGTGTAGCGATGTGCAATAACTGTCTTCTCGTATTGCATGATAAGATTGGTTAAGCTGTAATAAGCCATAATAGAGTCGGTATATTTCATTGTTTTATCATTGCCCTTATACTTTACATCGTTGCCCGTATCGTTAGCTCAATACATAGGATTAGGCTGCATGAAACATCTGTGCTTATCCATACGTTTGATTGTTATCTTTTAAACCACCCACATGTATGTTTACTAGTGGGAGATCGCACATAAATAGATGTGTTTCAAATCAATATGGTGACGTGGCTTCTGCAAAACTCTCGCGGTAAAACAGTGGCGTATGTTTAGCTGTTAGGACTAGGGTTTAGTTAAATAATATATACGTTGCACTTACGTCGCAGCGACCATTGCGTTACAAAACAAACTAAACAAAATATATTTTTATTTGTTACTGAATAACATCCTAGTCATTACATGAACAAACCTGAACACAAGTTTATTGACTTACATTACAAGCTTTGAGTTCCTAGTTATTTATATTGAGATTGTTTATTAACTATTGAAAGCTGAATTTTAATATATTGTTTACACTATTATTATTCTCCCTGCTCCCCTTTTGGTATCGCCTCTGACCCAGCAGCACTCTTACTGTAACTGTAAGTTTAGTAAAACCGGAGCATGAGTCATAAAAGTCATTTGGCTGTCATTGATACTACTCTTGTTAATTGTCTCAAACCATCACATGCACACAAAAACACCCAGAATTTAGCATGTACCTAGACGTTTTATTTGGGTTCATCATACTGCTTTTATGGCGTTCAAAAGGTTAGCTACTATGAATTTTTATCAGCATGAGCTTTATATTTGGAACTAAACAAATATAAATAATTTGAAAACTTGTTGTTAAGATACGATCATATTTTCGTGTATTGCCGTCAGTCTTTCAATTTTCAAAGATATTGCTGGTAATAATATATAAGTTTAATATCTTTCAGGGTGTGGTCAGACCTTCAATGATAAAATTGTCAGCCCAAGTGTGGTTGAGGCTGGAGGATCTTTTACTTTAAAATGTGACGCTTCACGTGCTGGTGTTCCAGTCGATGTTACGACTGTTGCAATGCTAATAATTTCATGGAAATTTGGGGCAAAAACAGAAAAATTGGCACACTACTACACTTATATTGAACCAAACATATCAACCGTAAGTGTTTTAATTTTTATTATCTGACATGTTTTTTTTTTAAATCTCATTTTTAAAATCTTAAATAATATTTATAACTAAATTAATCATAATTCCTATTGCATAAATCTACCATTTAAAAAATTAATTAAAATTAAACTTAGTTTGATGTCAAAATTCATTACCAATAAGGAATGACCGCAGCGTACAAGCTCACAAACATTTGTGACACACTCGTCCATTAAAACACTGGAAGTCTTAGTGCACACTTTCTGGCTAAATTCAGTGAATTTTCAAATGTTTTTCAGTTTTTTAAATATTTGTATAGGCTCTAGAGACAACCTCGTTTCCGCCATTTTTATGGTCTTACTAACTTAAATATTTTGCGCTGCGTTCAACGCCGATGCTATTTCTTATTTATACTCTACCGTATTTTTGTATTTAGTATTTAACATTGTGAAATAAAAACGAGTACGAGAATATAATTAAATAAAATATTTTGTAGTTTTTATTTTAAAGACATTAAAAACTGCATTGTTTAATAATTATTATTTGTGTTATCACTAATTAAGATCTCATTTCTTAATTTAAGAATGGTTGAAGTTGTGATGTGGGTTGGTTTAAGTTTTTACTTATATTCATATTTGATATTGTGGTAAGGGTAAGGGTTAGGGTTTATTTTTATTTTTGTGTTTATTTCTGTGTTTATGCTTGTGTTTACTTGTGCTTGCGTTTGTGCGTGTTTGCCTTTGTGCTTTGTTTGCGTTTGCGTTTGTGTTTGGTTGTGGTTGGCTATTATAGGGCTAAGTTTAAATTTAGAATTGGGTTTCAGATTATGTGCGATGTTCCCAAACGTCCAGACATTTCATTGGAAAAGTAATATGTTTCCTAAACCAAGGCAATTTGGTAAAGGCTGTTTAATAAACACACAATTGACTCTCATTTTACATATATGTTTTTTAAAGAGGCCAGAGCAGGGTCTGGCCGGGAAGGCTAGTGGAGACACGAAATAGAAAATGTAGAAATAAAATTGATCAACGTATGATTAGATTAGTTTATGAGTTGATGGGTGAGTGGGTAGAGTGAAGTACGGACGGTAGAGATCGAGGGAAAGAAAAAACGCTGAACACAATACCTTTGATAGGAATTTGATTTAAGGGAATATATGAAACGAGCCGACCCGCGGCGTAGCACACGCCGCTATTTAGTTGTTTTATTTTCCTACTTTTCAGTAACTCATAATTTGTGAATTCGACACTACCCTCCCATCCCTCGTCCCCCGTAAAAGCAGCCGTCCTTCATAGTTTACAAACGACAACGAAAAGACCAAGCAGAACATCTTACATCCCCTTAGTTTCAAATTGTCTGAAAGCTAAATTAGCTGCCCCCTAACAGACGTCACTAATTCGACCCGGCTATACGATCTAAACATTCGTCGTGAACCACAGCTCATCAGACTGGTGGCGGTGGGGGTGGTTGCGAAATGGTCTGTTGCATATGCCCAGAGAGCGAGGGAGGGGGCGGGGGGAGGATTAGATAGTCGGCTTGCATAGTCTTGTCCACGCAAAAAAATGTTTCGAAAAATGCGATAAAATGTGTATGCATTATTAAATGTATATAAACTATATGAGAGTAAATGTTACGGATTAAAGCGTTAAAAGGATGCAGTTAAAATGTTTAAATTGGATAGCAATGAATGTCTGGGTTTGAGTGGAATTGAATTAAATGATATGGGATTGGAAGAAATGGGATGGGTTGAAATGAAATATGTTTAAATAATGTTGGATAAGATACAACTTTACTGGATATATTTAAATGAAATATGTTTGAATAATGTTGGATAAGATACGACTTTACTGGATAGATTTAAATGAAATATGTTTAAATAATTTTGGATAAGATACGACTTTACTGGATAGATTTAAATGAAATTAAATAGAATTTTAGTTAGAGTTAGTGAGCTGGGATTAAAAGGGATGGTATGTGTTTAAAAATGTAAAATAAGATAGATCAGGATGGATTGAATGATATGCGATTATTATTTTTTTTACAATTGAAGGACATGACTTTTAATTATCTTTGATTTAAAGTGCTGCAACTAGTGAAGATAGGATTGCATGAGATTTAATTAGATTGCATATACTTGAATAGGACCGAAAACAATAGAATTGAATCGGATTGAACGGTTTAGGATAGAAATAAATTCAGATATGCTAGATTGAGTTGTATGATCTGATGTTGACTCTACGTATTAAATTCTTCTTTAAATTATAGTTTCGTGAGAACTGGAATTTTTCTTTTTCTGGAAACTTGCAAAGAACTACACAATTTCCAAAAAACAGAAACACAATGAGAATAGAAGTAGCGGTCTCGAGTGCGAAATGTGCTGATGCCGGCTCGTACGTATGTTATGCACAACACTTAAATTCAAGATATGATACCATACCAACAGAAAGCTTTCAGAATCTTACTATTACATTTACAGGTGAGTCCACACACAAATGAACATCAGACGCCCCCCCTCTCTTCCTTTATTAAAAGTAAAAAAAAAGTTACCTTTTCATACCTGAAGGTCAATAGGGCAAGTGAAGTAGAGTTCACTTGGTACTGTGACCTCGGTGAATGTAGAGATAATGTGGTCAGCACTATGCCCAGCCGCTTTTACTTTCCCTAACGTGAGTTAGTTACCCATCACAATTGGGTGGACTCAGGGACGGTCTACTGACTTGAACCCGGATTCGAACTCGAGACTTACGGGTTAGTAATCCAGCGCTCTACAGCTAGACCACTCCGTCCCTTAACACAAGGTTTGATGCTCTATAATTTTTTGTTGGGTAATATATATGGCATGGACTACGCGCATCGAACCAGTAACTTTCACGTTAGTGGTCGCGTCGTCTATCACTAGACCACGCCGCTCCCTTCTTTCTTTATTAGAACGTAATTAATTCAAACTCTGCTTATCTTGCGTTGATAGCGACACTGCAGTTACTGTTTTATTATAACCTAGCCTCGCGGTCTGCTGGATTATGATAGTATTTATCTAAATATATCTTATACACGAATATTTTGATTTACCTCCGTTTTACTTAAATATTAGTATTCATCATCGATAAAGATAGTATAATGTAATAATATTTTTTTTCTGGCACGTGCATTCAATTACAATGTTTATCATTATTTAACAAAAATCGTCTTATTGCAATTTTCAGAACATAGAACGTTTAAATAATTAATATATACGCTAGTTAATGCCGCGCGGAATGTTGTGGTGTAGCGAGCAAGTCGCAAAAGTTTGAAAAATATACTTGAGCGGGAGGGTCAGGGCTACTTCTGTATCGAAACTATTTCATAAGTAAAAATGTAATATACAAAACTATGCTCACTACTGCTGTATGGTGAATGATACAGTGTTATTGTGATCATTAATATAGTGAATATGTTTCTTCACAATATTAAGTGCAACACCATAACATTCATGTATTTCAACAGTTTTGTGGGTCAGAGCCACTTTTCTACCAGAATGTGATGTATAATTAAACACGTAAACATCTGCCACGCGATCGTAGCCACGGGTAGAACAAAGTGTCATAGTAGGTAAAAAATAAAATAGATATCCTACATTCTTGTGAGATAAGGGGTCATCCATAAATGACATCACGCTTTTTGGCAATTTTTAAACCACACCATACATAGTCACAAAAAGTGAGATTACCCCCCAACCTCCACCCCCCTCATCCATACCTAAAAAAATGAAGTCACACTTGTAGTTCTGTATCAACTTTTCAGCGATTTTAGGTAACCTGAAGTGGGACTTATTCTATTTTCAATTTTTTTTTTTAAAGCCTTTAACTTGAGTACTATTTCAGATAAATAAATGAAATTCACATACCAGTAAAAAAAATCTAATATTATTATCCACTTCTATCAAATTTTGAGTAATTTCTGATGACAGGAAATAGTAACTTCCGCTATTTCCGATTTCTCCATAAATGCAGGGGAATTTATAAAGTACTAATAATATTCCGCGTTAGTATACACATTTTGTTTGGCGTCACTTGTTGCACAATTCTTTTTTCTACGAGAATCTATTCTATTTTTTTAAATTAATTTAAGTAACTAAAAATGGCTTGTAAAAATCGTGTTTATATCCCGATTTGCCATCCCCCGTAGTGTTATATAAGAATTTTCAAGAAAGTTTAGGGGAGATCACTCCAGGTTTATTTTTTTCTAGTTTCGAGTCCAAAGTTAGGGAAATAATGCGTGCTATTAAAGACAAGATTCACAATCCTATATGGAAATTATATATTATATTGTTTTTAAATAAAATATTCAAGAAACTGAATTTAAAGATTTATTATACTACTAGACTACCCGTTATCTAGTTAGATAACTGTGTGTTTCGGGGGGTCATCCATAAATGACATCACGTCTGTCGGCACTTATCATCCCAAAATAACCAGACCCCACATTCAAAAAGACGTTTTTTATATTTTAAAAACTCTACTAAACTCTACTTCACCTGCCAAGTGCCCAGCCAAGTCTCAGACATGTTTGTATTTAAAATAAAAAATAAACCATTCCGGCTGAGCATGGCTGTGACCACACTATCCCTTCATATGCTGGGAAAATATAAACAGGTGAACTCTACTTCACCTGCCCTGAGCCCCGCGAGGTCCTGATAGTCAACCGTATCATTTGTAAAAAGAAAATAAAGCTTTTCACTATTACTAAAGTCATAGTTCTAAACTTTTTTAATTAATGTGGTTAATCTACCAATAATAATATCAATAAATTAATTAATGGCTTTAAATTAGTTTGTAATTAACAGTGTGTTTAAGAAAGAACAATATTTACCACCCACAATCCTATTTTACAGCTCTACACATAATGCAGATTCTCCCCAATAACAAATTAAACAAACAAACAAACAAAACAATGAGTTATCAAACGTCACTATTCAGTCAAAGTTTAGCCATTGATCTAAAACTTTAAAATTAATGTGGTTAATCTACCTATGAATAAATCAATAAATTAATTAACTTCTTTAAATAAATGTGTGATTAAAAGTCTGACTGCAAAAAATTGTTCTCTACCTTCATACTATTTTACAGCCCCCCATATAGAGCAGTTTCCTTACAGTACCAAATCAGACAAACAAAAAAAAATATTCAAACATGTAAACAAACTTGAGTTTTAGTAGTATATGGATAGATAGATAGATAGATAGATAGATAGATGACATGAAAAATTAACTGGAACAAAGATAGATTTCTCAATCAACTTTTCTAAATATTACAGTACATGTTAGAAGTATCGAAACCAATTTAAATAAACCGGGAGTGATCTCCCCTAAACTTTCTCGAATATTCTTATATGAAACAACAACGGATGGCAACTCGGGATATAGGCACGACTTTTAATCTATTTTAAATACTTAACCTTTTAAAAATAGAATAAAATCTAGCAGAAAAAAGAATTACGCACCAAGCGAACGCCAAAGCAAAAAGTGCATAATAGTGCGCAATATTATTAGTTCTTTATAAATTTACATGTTTTTTTTTTGATAAATCGAAAATATCGTAAATTAGTACTTCCGGTCAACGGAAATTACTCAAAATTTGACAGAAGGTAGAGAATTAGTTATTTTACTTACATGTGAAATTTCATTTATCTATCTAAAATACTACACAAGTTATAGGCTTTTGAAGAATTCAAAGTAGAAAAAAGTACCACTTCCGGTCATTTGAAATCGCTTAAAAGTTGATACAGATCTACGATTTTGATATAATACTTATTTATGAAATTTCATCAACCTAGCTGTAACGGTACTCAAGTTATCTTGTTTACACACGGACACACACACACACACGCACACACGCACACACACACACACAAAACACAGACATACGGACAAGATTGCAAAATTATGTTTTTCCGTATCAGTGAGGTGTAAAACGTCGAGTTTTGTAAAAATCTCGATTTTTTTTTTGCATGATTACAATACTTTCTCTATACTTTGTATATACGAGAAAGTAAAAAGACTTTCACTTCGTGTATTATATTTTTTTTTCCAAAGTGGAAAATTGTATGTAAAATAATTAAAAAGTAAAGCAAAGATTCTTCTCTAGACCTAACAATCGATTGGGCAGATGAAGTGGAGTTCATATGTTTCTTGACGTTGGCATAGGAAGGGATAATGTGGTCAGATAGATGTCCAGCCGCCTGGAACCCGGATTCGAACTCGAGACTTTTTGGGTCAGTAGTCTCCATCGCTTGGCCACGTCGTCAAACTGTCTCGACCTCTTCTTCTCGTCATGCACCGTCACAAAAATCCGAAGACACCCCAACCTCCGCCCGTTGTAGTGTGACGTCATTTATGAACGACCCCTAAGAGACGGCAACGGGAGATTCATTAGTAATAATAATACCGTAACATCCTGCCGTGCTTAATGATAAAAAAATAAACCGGGAGCGATCTCCCCTAAACTTTCTCGAATATTCTTATATAAAAACAACAGGGCATGGGAACTCGGGATATAGACATGAATTTTAATCCATTTTAAATACTTAAACTTTTTAATAGAATGAAATCTCGTAGAAAAAAAGAATTGCACACCAGTGAACGCCAAATAAAATGTGCATAATAGTTCGGAATATGATTAGTACCTTATAAATTACCATTCGTTTTTTGAGAAATCGGAAATAGCGTAACTTAGTACTTCCTTCAACGGAAATTACTCAAAATTTGAACGAGTGTAGAGAATTAGATCTTTTAATTACATGTCACATTTCATTTATCTATCTGAAACAGTACTCAAGTTATAGGCTTTTGAAAAATTCAAAGTAAAACAGTACCATTTCCGGTTATCGGAAATCTCTCAAAAGTTGATACTGATCTACAATTTTGATAAAATACTTATACATGAAATTTCATCAACCTAGCTGTAAGGGTACTCAAGTTATCGTGTTTACAGACACACAGACACACACACATACGGACAGAATTGCAAATCCAGTTTTTCCGACTCGATAACGCATAAAACGCCAAAATGTTTATATATTGGTATTTATAATTTTTGCCTGATTAAAATAAGTCCTCTATACTCCGGATGTGATGAAGGACTGAGGAGTAAAACGGTGAAAACTCAAAATGTCATGCCATTTTTGCGCACGATTACAAGACTTTCTCTATACTTCGTATATACGAGAAAGTAAAAATAACACGTTTTCACAAAGGTTGGTCCGTGACTTTTAGTTTAAACTACGCGTTAAAGGTATGGTTAAACGTGTAGGGAAATAAAATATAGCAATTTGAATTTTTTAATTTGTATACACAAATAAGCTGACATTTCCTTTCATAAATTTAAATTATCTATACAGCTCCAAGAACTATGTCGGTGAATGTAAATCCTCCGAGCACATATAAACCAAACGAGTTTATCTATTACAGAGATTCAGAAATTGAATTAACATGCAGCGTTGAAAAAGTACTGACATTTTTTTACAGTTTCATAATTAAAAACATTGTAAATGTCATATAATATATGCACAATTTTAGAAATGTTTTAGGTATTCGAATTACATTTGTAAGTTTAAAATTATGGAAAAAAGTTAATATTTTATATTCTACTTGTTTGTATTTAAGAAAATATGTTTATGACCATCATAATGAGTTCGATGACTGTTCTAATCACAGTATCTTCATTATTACTCATTTATAAGCTACTAAGTATAGCGATTAAGTTCATTTATTCAGTAATTATCTCTCCTAATTAAAATAAAGTCGTTTATTACTACAGAGAGTAAATGATGTCAACTTTCGATGGATGTTTGGTAGCAGCTTAAGTAACGTTAGTAGCTTTCTGCCATTCACTGCACAGAACGCTATATCGGTTACTAAAACAAACAGTTCTGGCTCCACATGTAACCAGTTTCGTCATTCCTCAACACTGAGGATTAAAACCGAAGAAAAGTATGATGGCTACATGTATATGTGTATGGCTACAGACAACAGAGAAACAATTTCTGGGAACATGACGATATATGTATTAGGTAGGGTCAAGTCACCGATCTGGACTATAATTTAAAAAAGAATGTTTATTATATGTTAATACATTATGAGGATTACAAATGAATTAAAAACCCATGATAATTTGATATAAAAATACTGCAATATACTCAATCAATAATGCATAGAAAAATGAAAACGTGTGAACACTTCATAAAGCTTAAATATTTTTTTTTTCATCTTTCCTTTAGATCATAACACATTAATATTTTATTCTTAATTTTTTTTTGCAACACTTTTCTGATGATTGTCCAATATCAAAGGGTATGAATAACAAAAGTTTAAAAACATTATTTTTTCCTTTACATATTGCTATATTTTAAATAATGTTTTTGCTTTTAAAACGCAAGTTTTTACAACTCTATTTTCCTCACTTTTGTGATTAAATCTAAATAAAAACTTGCAATGTTATTCTGGAGAAGACTCTGGTTATGGGTACTTATTGTGCGTCGACTTTAATGAGTTAAATAAGTGGGTTTTTATGGCTTGGAATAAAGTTTTGATTCTGCTTAAGGAAGGAACACGAATGCATGGGCAATTTTAAAACATTTTTTACTTTAATTTATACCTGCTAAAACATTTCATACATTATCACTCTACTCTACTAGTTGTAAGTATAACATATGTAATAATAATATTTTTATAACATTAATATTTTAAAAATACTAGAATAGTTGTAATAAAAAAAATAACTGTTGAATATATTGTTAGTGAGAACGTCTACAATAGTGAAAGCAATACAATTTTGAGCTTAAAAGAGGTTCGGGAAGGCGAATCATTCAAAGTGACTTGTGATGCATCGCGTGCTGGTGTTTCATACATGGTTGCACAAGCTTTGGAAATTGAATATAAATATGGGAAGAAAGATCCAGTAAAAATAGCAGAATACACGACTTCTACTCCACCAAAAAGAATACAGGTATGTATTTCATGAAAAGATGTAGCTTTTTTCTCAACGACCATGCAAGACAAAATACAACTTACACACAATGCAATATACATGGACTGGATGTATATTTACGTCTCTCAATATATGTATTCATTTTAATCAACACATCCATTATGCATACATCCACATATCCATATATTAATAAATTAATGCATCCCTCCGTCCTTCCGTCCTTCCGACTATCCATTAATCTATCTATCCACCCACGCATCCATCAACCCAACCACCCAGCCACGCACGAATTTACAAAACGATGCATCAACAAATACATCCATTCATATATTAAACAACTCGTTAATCCATCTATTCATATATTAAACAACTCGTTAACCCATCAATTTCCTTTCATATATTAATCAACTCGTTAATCCATCCATTCAGCAAATTACTCTAACCGATATGCATGTGTAAATGCATGTATATGGGATTGTCTCTATATTGAGCTTTTGCATTGTAATAAAACAAATTCGTTTAAAATTAGTAGTGATATGCATTCCTCAGTTACTTAACTAAATATATATTGTTATTTCTAGTCTCCACCCCTATCTCAGCCTGCAAGGAATTGGACTTTTAATTTTGATGGAACCTTCAATTATGCAATCAACATGAACTCGATGAAAATAGAAATAACGGTCTATGACGCAAAATGTGGTGATGCTGGAGTTTATTCTTGTAAAGCTTCATACGACGAAGACCAATGGTCAAAAAAAATTCAAAATCTCACTATTCTAGGCAAGTCTGTCATTTCAAGACAACGAAACGAAATGTTATCGTCCTGAGATTATTAATACGTATCCCCTATATTTTTCATTAAAATCCCGTAATATATATATATATATATATATATATATATATATATATATATATATATATATATATATATATATATATATATATATATATGCCTATAGCTGTATTTTAAAATATATTTTTACCATAAACGTATTATTCTTATTTGCGAGGCATCTGTGTATTTGAAAGTGGATATTTATTAGAATTTTATTTTAATTGCTTGTGTAACTTAGTTTTAAAACTGTCATTTCTGTAGAAAGATGAAATTTAAGTTTTGCCGATAATAATATAACTTTAAAACAGCGCGAGTAGTCCCCCTGCCACTGAGTGTGTTCCCCAATGGACAGAAACAATATGAGTTAGTAAACCCTGCTGGGTCTAATGTTACATTAACGTGTAATGTTTATGTAAGTATTGTCATTGTTTATAACGTAAGTATAACTCAGATACAGCTGTACAATAGGGCTGGTAAGTAGGTCACCAACCAGTTGTACGACTCAATAAAACCTGCATGAGCCATTGAACTAGTTGGTGACCTACTTACCAGCCCTATTGGTGAAGGCTTTAGATTGTGTAAGCAAAGATAATCGAGTGACGGACTGGTATAGATGTTAGAGGTCACAACAAAATTGTAAATCAATTCTGAAATGTCAAAAATGATCACCTGTCAAAACGAGGTACTCTTTAAAAATATCGGCAGGAATTATCGTATTAACATAGTTGTACATGCAACATTAACAGAATAAAAGTGAAACCTGAAGATAAACATGTCCAATTTATATATATATATATATATATATATATATATATATATATATATATATATATATATATATATATATATATATATATATATAACCGTGTATTATTGCAGGGACCAAGAAACGTAACCTTACAATGGAAGCTTGGCAACAGATTAAGTAACTTTAGTAGCTTTACGCCATATCCTGTACAAAACCATATAACTTATGCTGCACCTGTGGTTGATTCTGACGCCCCCTGCGTCAAGTACCTCCATTCGTCAACACTGAAGTTTCAAACAGAAAACAAGTATAATGGCTACATGTATGTGTGTGTGGCTAAAGAAAACATGAGAGACACAATCGTAGGGAACATGACGATATATACTAATCCAGTAACTATATTAATTTATTCCAACTGGCGTGTGAATTAGTCTCAACTATGAAGCTTTGAATTTTCTTTTTTTTAAATTAAAAATTATGCTTTAAATGTATAGCATAGATCCATAGTAATCAGTGTTTCTTTCAGACGTTTTTCTCCGGGGGGGCACTTGAAAATTTCGGGGGGGGGGGGCGGACACTGTTAAAAGTATATATTTTCTACATAAATTATATAAATTTCATTTCGTTCGGGGGGGGGGGGGCGGTAAAAAAATTTCGAGGGGGGGGGGGGGCGAAAAGATGCCTGGAAGAAAACTCTGATAGTGATACGTTAATTTTATTTGATAAATATTACTTGATATTTTAATTATCCATTGTTATAAAAAGGCAGGAATCTTTAAAATATTTTAAAGAAATAATGTTCCTTATACGTTTAGCTAGTAACAAGCGTAGATTTTATATTTATTATTAAATTCAGATTCATTTTTTTTCTTTAATATTTTCAGTAACATCGGCTACACTGTCGTAGGTTTTGAATGACACCAAATAAAAAGCTGTTTTTATTCCTGTCAACACTCTCAAAAAAGTTCTTCCTCTTTGATTAAACCACATGCAATATCTATCTGTTGTGTAGACTACTTTTGTGTGGCGCTCTACTATAATACATTAATTAAAGCAACACAAAATACGGTATACTTGACAAGCAAAGTCGAATTTTAAACTAAGCAGATGTCAGTTGGAACAAGAATTTTGAAAGTGCAGCTAGTCAGTTTTTAAGCTGAATTTAGAAATCCCCAACAGCGTGCATCAACTAAAAATATATTAAATATGCGTGAAAATTAATTGAGAAAAATGAAATGAAGAGAGATTTACTATCATTATGAAACCCCTCATGGCAATTTTTTTTTGCGTTTGCGTTTCGGTTGTGGTTAATTGTGGTTAATGTTAATTTAAGAGTTAGAGTTAAGGTTATGTGTGTTTTTCTCAAACATTCATATTTGCATACAAACATTTAACTGGAAAATTAATATATTCCCTGCCAAAGTCTGAGTATGCTGCAAATAAAAACACAAGTTACCATCCTTTACTGATGTTTTCGGGGGTCCACGACAAAGAAATTTCCACGTCGGGTATGTAACTTTCGGGCATATTTCGCATTCGGGCAAGTGTCCATTTGGGCATTAGTCGCATTCGGGCAAGTGTCCATTTGGGCATTAGTCGCATTCGGGCAAGTGTCCATTCGAGCATTTGTCGCATTTGGGCAAGTGTCCATTCGGGCATTTGTCGCATTCGGGCAAGTGTCCATTCGGGCATTTGACGCAATTGGGCAAGTGTCCATTTGGGAAAACGGCCTTCAGGGAATCGGCATTAGGGCAAGTGTCGTTCGAGGAAACGTCCGGCTCCCGTTTTTTCACACAGACCAGTGCAGCGCCTGGCGGTGACGGCTTATATATATATTACGCCAAATTGAAAGTTTTTCCCCGGGCGCCGAGAAAGGTCGCTACGCCAACCCATTCTGTTGGAAATTGAATTTTAGCTTTTTCCCCCCTTACATCCAAAGTAAAGAATAAAGAATATACAAGTTTCGGGCAGCTTACTCCCAATTTATTTCCACAAGTAATCATAATCATAATGACAAATATAACATACACATTTACATTTGATCATTGTGTACAAATAGGGTCTTTTTATAAAAATGTAATTCTATATGTAGCAGGCTAATATTCCACAGATGGAAGAATGGAAATAGAAATGTGAAAATATTTTTAAAAAATTGATTTACTTTGAAAAATAAAAACAATGATGGTTGATATATTATTTTAGTCTATGCCAGGGGTCTCCAAACTACGGCCCGCGGTCCTCTCATCCGGCCCGCTGAGATCTTTTTGTCCAAGGAAAAATCGTTTGTTGGTGATGGCTGAGGAACTTTGCCCAGTAAAATCAAAGACATTCCAGGAAGAAACTGGCCCCTGAACTGAAATTTGATATTTAATGCGGCTCCTGGACTGAAAAGTTTGGAGACCCCTGGTCTATGCCATACATTTCTTACCAGTCATACACGCATATAAACACAAATTCGCAAGATTAAATAAATGTAATGTGCACTTTTTTTAAAAAAAAGAGAAACATGTTTATTGTACATGTGATTTCAAAGTATGTGTTTTTTTTTGGCTGCCATAGCGGAGCTGCCAATTTAAAATTGTAACAAATGTAAGATATACGGGCATTTTTGTTTTAACATTAGATTGATTCTAGGTGTTTCACAATATTGTGGTATTATTTAACTTTAACGATATTACTTTTGTTAGATAGCTACGCCTGAAAGCTAAAGTGAACTTTTTAACTGTAATACTCAGAGTTTCTATCATACACCTTTTTTGGGAGGGGGGGGGGGCATAACACCTCTGGGATGAAATAGAAATAATATAAAGTGTTTATAAAAAATATACATGCCCTACTTTAACAAGTGTCCACCTTCCCCGGTAAAATTGAAGGGTGCCACCGCCCCACCTCAGTAAATTTGTAACTACCCCCGCTCCCCCATAGCAAAATGTCTCAAGCAATGGTTAAACTCTTGATCTATATAGTCACTTACGAACGAACTGCTAATATTTAGAACGTTTAATTCACACAAATATTGCAATACATAGGTCTTTTTCGCTATTCGGTTAATCTTATTAAAAAAATTATAAAAAACCTTAAAGTAAAATAAAATAAAATGGAAATGTCAGTTTATAATACTAACAGCAGTAAAAGTAATATTGAGAAAAAAATGCTCAACAAAAATACATTCAATTACATAATATGATAAAATATATAATGAATTACCATTAGTAATTTGAATTGCAAACAAGTGATTGCAGGTTACTACCAATTAACAGATAATCTATTAAATATTAATTAGCCAGGTTCTCCATCCATCTTTTTAAGCTTTACATTCCCAATACGTATTTCTCCCGCCCGAGATTGGGCTACACTGGAATGAAATTAAAAAGAAAATATTCATGAAATGAACAAAATATAAAAGTTCTATCGGAGGTGGCTGAAAAAGTGCCAGCCTTGCCACCAGTTAGTGCGAAAAATAATTGTTAATAAATCCCTGCGGTAGTTGAAGATATTCCTAGCTAATACTTTTGCGAACACAGTATTTTATGAAAACGTGTATGGTAAATAAAATAGTGTATTACATGCATCATTTTTCACTAAGAAAAACTGTCAACAGTAACATTTTTTTTCTTTTTTTTTTAATAAAATAAATTTTTAAAAAAGATTTTCTGAAAATTACCTCCCTTTATCCACATCCAATACATAAAATCCAGAACATCACAAATACTCCATGATGAGTAGCCACAGCAAACATACACAGTAAACATTTACTCACACTAGCACGCAATGAATGTACATGAAATACATATTTATAAATGTTTTTATAAAACAATATAGGGCGGCGTGTCCTATCGGTAGAGAAGTAGACTATTAAACCTCAAGTCTCGAGTTCGAATCCGGGTTCAAATAAAACAATTCTCATTTGCCGAGGTCCATGACACTACTCCATCTGCCCCATGGGCACGATCGAGAAAAGATGATGATTTCAAGAAATATAGAACCACTTATGAATTAAAACCTAGCTAAAAGACTGCAGGCAAGTTACCCTTTGGATGCGATCCATATCTCATGCAAGTCATCCATGTACTCCTCGAATTCTTCATTCGGTTTAGGTATCACAATTTCGTTGTTGGATTTGTAGATGACGACCTCGAATTCGTTGACGTCAAACTCAACAGGTAAGTGGTTTCTCAAAAACTGGAACATAATTTATTTGGTTAGTTAAAAAAACTTAACAAGTAAGTGGTTTATAAAAAAACTGGAACATAATTTATTGAAATAGTTAAGTGTTAAGTTGATTATTTAAACAAACTCAACAGGTAAGTGGTTTCTCAAAAACTGGAATATAATTTCTTTGTTTAGTTAAGTGATAGATTCATTATTTAAACAAACTCAACAGGTAAATGGTTTCTTAAAAAAAACTGGATCATAATTAATTTATTTGGTTAGTTAAGTGACAGGTTAATTATTTGAACAAACGCTAAAACAATGTTTAATTAAAAATATTTGTTTGAAAAATATAAGACCTGTTTTCATCAATTTACTTTGTTAGTTTAGTAATAGCTTAAGTGTTTAAACAAACACTAAAGCATTGTTTTATATAAAAAATAATTAGTTTCAGTATATAGGGCCTATAAGACATGTTTTCATCAATTTATTTAAAAGATTAGTAATAGGTTCAATAGGCTATTGGAACAAAAACCAAAACGCTCTTTAATTTAAAAAAGTACTAGTATTAAAAAATGAACCAAATCTTTCATGTATTAAGTCATTTTTAAGTCATTCCCCTATGGGCATTGCCCCCTTCCTCCAACACCATGCAAAAGATCCACCCTTATGTTATGTAGAATATATAGGTTATATAGTTTAACTATTGTCAGCCACCCGTCCCTGGAAATTTTAAGCCCTGTGTATAAGGGGTGCCAATTATTGCTAGCTATTCTACACCTTACTTCATTCATTCTGGAAGAGCGAAACACACGTTTTTTCTCCTCCTTGCCGTCTGGTAGCAACACAGTACAAATAAAACCTTCATCAACGTCAGCCTCTGTATAACCCAGGCGAAAGTTTTATTAATAATAAACATGTCATTCAATAAAATAATTTAAACGATCTTAAATGGCCAAGACTAATTAAAAACTAGACTACTGACTAAAAAGTGATAATATTTATACGAATAAAAAAGAAATAAAATCTTTAAAGTGTATTTTCAAATAATAGCAAGGTATGTTATTTTATTTTCATGTTATCGCTAGTATTATTTAGAATATTATTAATTGTACATTGAAATGCTATCAAATAACATAGGGATTGACGTCGCACTCTTAGGGTGAAGGGGGCGTCCGTAATTTTATGATGCCATCTGAAGATGGAGGGGGTGGGGAATTACAGATAAATTGAAGTCACATTTTGCATTTAAAAAAGTAATGTTAGAAATTGAATTTTAGCCCATTATTTCGAGTTTTATAAAACTTTTAATAAATTTTAATCTAAATTGACTGAAATAATCTGAACTGACCAACACAGTCAAGTTTTTAGAATAAAATGGAAGTTTCAAAAGCTGCAGTTTTGAAGGGGGTGGAGGTTCTGGTAAAGTGGTGACTTCATTTTAAGGGGTGAGGGTCTTGCTTTTCGTGAAAATTTAGGCGAAAATCGGCATAAAAAAGCGTTATGTCATTTATGGATGAGCTCTGTGTTAAAAACATTTTAACTTTTTAAAATGTTTCTGCTAAATATATGGATAAAAACAGTAGCACCAGACTTTTGGTTTACATTAGTATACATTGTATAAAGCATACATATGTAAGACAAGAGATAACGAGTAGTACGATGTTGACGATGTGTTACCTGAAACATGGGCCTGTAAGTGTTTATGTTGTGGCTCTTTCTTTTTACTAGTACTAGACTCATTTCCCATTGCTGCTCTACTGCAAAAACAAGTTATCAACATGAATAAACAACCATTTAAAATATAACGATCAGCCGCACAACGTTGGTAAATTTACTTTAATATTTTTAAAATAATAGATTAAACCAATATATGAATATATATATATATATATATATATATATATATATATATATATATATATATATATACATATATTTATATATATATATCTTTATATTTATATAATTACGGGACACATTTGATTAACAATTAATGAACATTTTGTATTGAAAAATGTTCAGAACGATGTTGATATTATTAAGGTGCGCCGATTAATGGATTTTTTTTTTCGAAATATTTCGACATTTGTATACCTCATGACGTAATGGCTAATTTGAAAATACTTTCACTTTTACCCAGAAACGTGTATTTATTAAAAACATTTAATTTAATCTATTTGTTTAATGGAATTATAACTTTTAGCAACTTATTTCACTATAAGCAATAAAACATAATTCTTTTAAAATAAAATAAAACTTAAAAAGGCATCACCTTTCAGAAGAGTTAAAATTATTTTATTCAGGTCACATTACGATAGCCTACATTAAATATAATATGACATTGTCTTTGTTCTAGAAAAAAAAATATTACATTTATTGGGCCATAGGTTGTTTTGAATATTATATTCAAGTGATTCAGTGTCAAGACTGTTATTTTACACAGCACACTTTCGAGGTCTGGTCGCTCAGTTATTATGCCAAAGTGTGAAAGTGATACGTCCCCTCCTATTTGGCTATAACAGTGGAGCAACAAGTCACGGAATATTATTCCAAATTGATGTTTACACTAAGTTTGTGTATTGGTTTTTTATGTTTGCAGAAGAGCTTACTATAGTGGCTGTAAAATAAAGATAACAGTACTGCAGCTACAGTATTTTGTTACAAACCAAAACATCAAGGCGAAAATTGCACGAAAATTACACTTACACTTTTTAAAAATATTAATTATTGTGGGCTGTGGTCCCCCCTCTCCTAAACGGCCTGATCCTACACCCCCCACCCTCGCACTGGCGGCATGGTAGTTCCGCCCCTGGTGTTTGGGTGTCAAGAATGTTATTTTACACAGTTTTACTAGACAAGACTAAATGTTGCATACTTTTTATGACAACTATAACTGGGATTGACCTATAACAAAATTGGACCAAACATAGATCCATAGAAGCAGAGGGATATGTGGTTTGTTATGAGAAAAAAAATATTTAAAATACACTTATTTAAAAATGTATTACTTTGCCTAGGCTAATACACTAGGATTACTTTAAAAGGGTATACAAACACAATACGTTTTACTACATAATGTACTACTACTTTTTATACGAACTTATCTAATGCACGCAAAGATTAGTTTAAAGAAGTAGCCTACACCATCTTCTTTGACTCGAACCTGGTAGTTTCTCTTTAAATCGGATTATTATTTTATTTCTATGTAAATCTTAATTATCAGTAAATAAGGCTAACATCCAACTGCCCAATGTCTCTTGCCCTCACCATCCAGTCTGGGGGTCCATGTCCTGGCTTAACCTCGAATACAATAGGGTATCTCTTAACGTGTTTCCTCTAATTCACATCCCAGGTCAGCTGGGTCGGACTCAGGTCAAGGACAAGGCGACCTGTTTTACTCCACGCCTGCACATAGCTAGGAGGGAAAGGGATGGCTTCCTATCAAATTATGTCGTGTCCCAATTGAGGTGGGTACGGTGGACTGGAGGCAGAACCCACTAGCATCAACAATGGACTCAGTTATAACAATAAACATAAAACAATACTAGACCTCTTTATCTTATTCATATGTTTAGCAGGAAGATGAAGGTATAATTTAAAAAAAACACTAGAGGAGTAACAACTGGGTTGCTCATGTAATTATGTGCGTGGTCGATGCTTTCTTCCATAAAACAAAAACAGCGCAACTCATATGTCAGTTTAGTGTGTATTCTATTTATAAAAAAATATAATTGTAAATTAAGGTTCGACATTAAAAGTTCAAACAAATATATAACTTAAATACTTAATAACTGAATTCGGAGAAGACTAATTCCATATTTTTAAAATGTATTTAAATTTTAAAAATAATATTCGTATAAAGTGTTTAATTAAATAAGTGCTAACATTTTAATATCGTTATATGTTACCAGTTTTGTAGCAGGGTAATTGATGCAAAGTTTTGGTTGTTAAATGATGCTTATTGGATTGTTCATTTATAGCCTACATTGATTTTAAGAGTGACTATATATATATATATACATACATATATATATATATATATATATATATATATATATATATATATATATATATATATATATATATACATATATATATATATATATAAATATATATATATATATATATATATATATATATATATATATATATATATATATATATATATATATATATATATATATATATATATATGTATATATATATATATATATATATATATATATATATATATATATATATATATATATATATATATATATATATATATATATATATATATGTATATGGCTACAGGACATTACCACCCCCCGGAAATTACCCCCCTGGACATTCCCCCCACCCGGTATCTGCCCCCCCCCGGAGCAATTACCCCCCCCCCCCCCCCGGAAATTACCCCCCCCCCCGGTATTTACCCCCCGGAGCAATTACCCCACAGTCAATTACCCCCCCCCCCCCCCTTCCCCGGGGAATCTTTCCCCCCTCAAGTTAGAATCCTAACTCTAACTAGAATTCTATACCTATATACTACTTAAATCCAAACCTTAAGAAAAAGACCAAAACCTAAGCATCCACCTTAGCCTAAAACTTCACACAAAACCAAAACCAACGCTTGACACAACCCTAACCCTAACCCTAGCTCTAAACCTAACCCTAGCCCTAGTCCTTACCCTAACCCTAACCCAAACCTTTTCCTAACCCTAACTCTAACCCTGTCCGGGGGTGGGGGGGGGGTGGGGTAATGTCCTAATGTCCTATTGGGCGGTGGTAATTGACAGGGGGTAATTCCTCTGGGGTTAATGTCGGGGTGGAAATGTCCGGGAGGTAATTGATAAGGGGGAAATGCCCTGTTCCCATATTTATATATATATATATATATATATATATATATATATATATATATATATATATATATATATATATATATATATATATATATATATATATATATATTAAATATATATATATATATATATATATATATATAATATATATATATATATATATATATATATATATATATATATATA